ATGCAATTGATGTTGCTGATCTGAGTGCTGCATGATTGCACAGATAACATCTCACTATTATAAGTTTAGTAAGGACTGATGCCCAAAACCTCAGCACAAAAATTGCTCTCTTTAGCAATGTATGTAAATCCCCTTTTTACTACACTTGTTTCCACAGAAACACATTTTAAACTGAACTAATTCACTCTCCAGTTCTCACCCAAAAATTATAACATTTTCATAGTATTACAATCAGATAATATTACATATATAATTAGTTCTATTACCTTGATTCAAGTTCGACAATTAATTCATTGATTGCATCTATGACAGTAGTCTGTAAAATAGACCATAAATGAACCTGTCAATCAATGGACCARCACTTCACATGTCACAGTGTTTCAAGCAATCTTCCAATCTTTCATGGAATTCATTCAGCTTTTCATTCATTCACATTTCCATCCATCCTTCTGAGAAATTGSTTCATAAGAGGTTTTTAAAACATTCAACAGGTGATCTGAGTGCAGCTCTAACAACTGAGCTGAGCAAAGAAACCTTATTTTTTAGTGCCTTTATGTACTGGCATTTTTCATATAAACACTTTTAGAATTTATATTTATTCATGATCCCGAACCTTTAATCCTTGACTTGGTTTGCTAAAGTCACTTGTTGCTGTTCCACCAGCCATTAGTAGTTTCTGTGAAAGTAGAGTGTGTACTCATCATAATAATAGCATTACACCTTTTGCTGTTCATTAACCGCGAAGGAACTTTCAATCAAGCGAAACTGCATTGTCTTTAGCGCGAACGAACGTTCATTAACGCTTAGGGAGTTTCAAGAGCGTGAAGGGAGAATCATTAACATATTTAGCATAGATATGGACAATCATGCATAACTGGGCGCAGATTCATTAACGTTTTCAAACCTTCATTAGCCCATTATGTGCATTCAATAAACTACAACAAACATACAATACCAAAATACGGACATTTAATTTCGTCATAGTTTTTGCAGTCAAATTTCAGCATGAAATATGACTCGTTACAGCTACTACGACTTGTTTAAAGTTGGAATGCAATGCCTCCGCGTCGACATCGAATTTCGAGCGAAGTGAAAGAGCGTCTTGTAAGAGCGTATGAGGACCCGGCCGAGGATTATCTAGCGGTTGCCGCTACATTGGGGGTTAATAGTTCTACCGCAACCATATGCAAACTTATTTACCAAGATGCTTAAATAGAGAGCATATTCAAGGATGAAGATAATTTTTGTATGTAAAATATCACACTTATTAAACACTCTTTAAATCCTAGAAATAAATACTATGACGAAATTAAATGTCCGTATTTTGGTATTGTATGTTTGTTGTAGTTTATTGAATGCACATAATGGGCTAATGAAGGTTTGAAAACGTTAATGAATCTGCGCCCAGTTATGCATGATTGTCCATGTCTATGCTAAATATGTTAATGATTCTCCCTTCACGCTCTTGAAACTCCCTAAGCGTTAATGAACGTTCGTTCGCGCTAAAGACAATGCAGTTTCGCTTGATTGAAAGTCCCTTCGCGGTTAATGAACAGCAAAAGGTGTAAA